TCCTCCCCTCTCCCCCTTTCTCTCCCCTCTCTCGCCCCCCTCGTTCCCCTGTCTCCCTTCTCCTCATCTCCTCCTGACACTGCACTGCAGCTGCTCCTCCAGCCCAGTCCTGCCCGCTTCCCTCCCTCCCTCCTTTCCTTTCCCTTCCCTCCCCCCGGGTGCCAGATAAACAAGGCGCGCAGCATCCTCGACAATCCCGAGCTTAGCTCTTCATTTTCGAAAAGGACAAGAGAACGGGACGAGCCCCCTCCCCTCCTCCTCCTTCTCCTCCTCCTCCTCCTCCAGGGGTGACATTGGCTCCCGTGGCTGGGCGCAGGAGGAGGGCAACCCTCTGCCGCTGAGTTGGGACACAGGTAGGAGAATTCTCCATGCGGCAGTAATGGCCAAAGACAAGAAACTCAAACAGTTTTGAAGCTGGCTGAGGAATAACTTACACCAAAGCATCCCTCCTTTCACCCGCTCAACAGCTCCATCACAGCTGTTGGGGCTGCACAGCCGTGACCCTACAGAGACGAGGAGGGAGCACAAGGGGCTTCTGCAGCCCCGCTATCTCCCTCCGCCCGTTTAACGATGGGCGAGAATAAATGGCAGCTGGAAGGAGACGGCAAACGCACTCTCCTCCTTCCACATCCTCTGGCTCGCAAGTTGAATTTCAGCCTTGCCGTGCGTTTTCCTCCTCCTTGGCCTCACTTCTATTGTCAGCGCGGCCACGGCGTGTGTTCGCCGTGGCTGGGGGCGAGGGCTGGCTGGTGGCGGGGGGAGTCGCCGCCCGGCTGCGGGGACTCGCTGGTTAACATCCTGCTCTCCCTGGAGGTGATGAGTTATAACGGGACCAGCATCTCCTCTTACCCGCTTGCGCTGGAGTCGTCAGAGCGGTGCACCGAGGCAGGGGTGGATTTATTTGCCCAATATTAAGAGGCAGCGGTCTGACCGTACGTAGTGCATGGCTCAGCCAGCTATGTTAATTAATTCGGGTGGGCACGACCGTGTCACACACGGGGACTTCTTGAGGCGCTTGTAGTCTCGGATAAGAGAAGTCAGGTGAACTGGGATCGCTCGTGCCGCTTGGGGTGGTGGTGGGGGAAATAACAACTTTGTGAAACAGGTTTCGTGATAAAAATCTTGATACCCGTGCTAATGGGCCGTTGCCTTAATTACTGGGGAGAGCCTGAGTCTGGGGAACCAGCGGACCCTTATTGTCTTGCACTTTTTCGGAGCCGGTTACGGAAGGTCCTTAAGATTTCAGCGTAGCTGGATTTAGCGGTGGGATGAGGGCACTGGCAACTGTGCAGGTGCCGAATCAGACTGGGAATCCTTTTTTCCTTTTTCCCCCTCCATTCATTATGTATATTTTTTTCCTGTTCCGACTGTGTGCTTTAACGCTAGTGGTGGGGAGAGGACTGGCATTGTCTATCTCGTCACCTTTTAAGTACGTTTAAAACAAGTGACTTAGGCTTTTGATCAATTGGGAAAAATTCTTCTTAATGTCCTTTAATTAATGAGCTTAAAAGAGATCATTGTCGCTTAAGAAGTGCTAAAGGAATACATCAGGATTACTTAGGCAAGTGATTCCATCCGCACCATGTTGAGTTGTTTTCTTGGCAGTGGCTGAAATGCTTGGAATAAAACCCCACATTTTGGGTGGGTTATTTGGTATCAGAGTAGTCGTTTTGCTCACTTAAGAAGAATGCAGGCAATAGCTAATTGCTATTCTCATGTGTTTGCTAATGACAAACAAATAGCCCATCAGAATTTACAATTCATTCCTTTTTTAGTTTTGGCATTTCTTTTGCAGTATTTTCAAGCAAGGTTGTAGTTGTCACCAGGCACGTTTTCGTGCAGGGCTTTATTTTTTTTAAAGGGGTCCGATCATTTCTGCGTGCTGTGGTTACCATTGGGGAAAAAAAAATCCACCTTTGAAGTATGATTTAGATTTTATTCTTATTCTTTTATGGAATTAAGCAATCTGTTTGGATTCTTTAATTTGCTCAGAATAAACGTACACATTTTAAAATGTCATAGTCTAAACATGTCATGTAGAATGACGCAACTGGTTAGATGTAAATGCATGAATTACTGGATGAGTTTAAAGATGTAACATTTCATTTATTTGTGGGTCTGGGGAGGAAAAATCAAAGTTTGTAAGCCGTATTAACCATGCATATCTCGATTTTTCAGAGGATGGCCAGTATTTTCTAAAGGTCCTCATACCTAGTTATGCTGCTGGATCTATAATTGGGAAGGGAGGACAGACAATTGTTCAGTTGCAGAAAGAGACTGGGGCCACCATCAAGCTGTCTAAATCCAAAGATTTTTACCCAGGTAGGTGCAAAATTAGCCAATTCTTTATTTTCAAATCCCAAGGGATGTATGTTCATGTCAGTGTGTTTCATATATTGACGACTAAGCTTCCAGTGCAGCTGGAAGCATTATTTCTCAGAAAAGTCTGTTACAAAGTGCAACAGTGAATATAAATGTTTTGTCTGTCTTGGTGTACGGAATGGACTGGGCACTAACTGCTTGAAATACGTTTAAAGATATTTACAATGTTTCTGCAAAAGAATATTTTCATCATTATTTTGATTGCTTTGGTTTTTAGTTTAAAAAAAAATAATCTAGCTTTAAGGAACCAACTTGACAGCTGGTGTAAAAATAATTGTTTGTTTGAAGTTTCCAGACATTGTAATGACGATTAAGTTAAAATGAGTAAAAATGAGAGGACGCCTCTTAAAGAATGGGCCATTTACTTTAAATCCATTATGTACCTTCTTTCTGCTTCACTGCTTTGTTCACTGGCTCTGGAGTGAAGTAAAGAGGACAAGTGCTGCTCTTTAGATATTCTTTATATGATGTTTATCGTGATGGTGGAAGAAAACTGTTATAAAAGTAAAATACTTCGGATGAATAAAGAAATGAGTATTTTAGCAACTGTGTTCATGCACAAGAAAGAAGCTTTTTAATATTTGCTTATAACAATAATAAAGACCTGATTTAGCACTTATAAAGGAGAAGATTTCTGAAGAAGGGAGTCTTACATAATGATATACAAGATTATAGCTTCTGCAATTGAATAATAATTTTTTTTTTTCTTAGAGGTAAACAAATCAGCATTCTGTAATTGAACTTTGTTCTAGGGGACTTTTTAAAAACTGATGTAAAATAGTAACATAGCTACCTTTTTTTTTGTGTTTGTTTTTATTGTTTTGAAGAATAACTGGTGATTTAGAATTGAGTTGACTAGCTGTTACCAACTCTTTTCTGTTGGAAAAGTAAGAGCTGCCTTGCATTTAATCTAGTTTAACAGGATGACTGAATTCTACAAAATAGTGAAGGCAGTTGGTATGGATGTAAACAGAACACTAACATTGAAGCATTTAGATTTCCCATCCTCTTAACTTTAATGTCAGGTGGAAGTGGGTAGTTTTTTATTAATGGAGAGATTGTTGTCTATTTACAACGACGATTTTTGATGTAGAAGTTGTAATGCACCTGTTGTACATCTCCTTAATGAATGTAGTTTATACTACTTAAAAGTCAGAGGTTGAAGAGATGCATGTAGATTCTTCCTATTGAAAGATACAGCTTATGAACTGATGCTTGTTGGTTTTGAGTTGTTTTTTTTTTACTTTTCTTTAGAAAGTTAGAGAAAATGGTCTTTTATTCTGAAAGGTATGTTAGGGTGGAAAAAAAAATCAATGTAGAATTGTGAAAACTCTTGGAAGAAATAAAAGCATTCAAAAGAGCCTGATTGCAGAATTAATAACATAATCTGCGTGAAGAGCCGCAATAGTAAATTAAATTCACTGTCAATAGATGAAAATGAAATAGATTTTCTGCATTATACATGAGGTGGTATCAGATATGCAAGGATGTTACAGAAAATTGGTGTTTATGAAGAATATTCCAAATACCAAATTACAAGCCTTTTCATTTTACTACAGTTTATTTACACTTACTTGGAAAGGACGCTCCAAAGATTAGATCTTTTGTTCAGTGCTCTAGCATAGTTCTTCTGTTTTCTGATTAAATCAGAATTACATATTTTTTGTGTAGCAAATGGTAAAGATAGAGCAGTAGTAGCAGAAGAACCTTTGAAAAATAAAAATTAGCAAGCTAGAATGACATGAGTAAAAACGTTTGTGGTGTAAACTCATTCTCTGTTAAAGTCAGTAGTAATAATATAAATAACTAGAGCAGCGAGGCTCAAGCAGTTTCACTGTAACAGGTGCAAATGAAGTTCCAGTTTGACTTCATACAGCCTGTTTTGAATTTCCAGCCACGTTGTGTCATACAGAAAATGAGTGTTTTAGGGAAGCTGGTGACTGATACCTGCTGAAGGATGGAATAGGGCTGAGAAGTGGATTCCAGTGTGGCTAGCGCTCGTTAGTCTTTCTGCTTGCATTTGACCACCAGCCCATGGAATTTTCGGAGGTCCTGGCATTCCCTGAGCTGATGGCTTTTGGTTTTCTTCCAGAGTCTTGTGCTCATATAGTATTAGGGAATACAAACCTTGTGAAATAGCTAATATGGTTCATTTTTCTTAAGAAGTTTCTTAAACAATTACTCTGTTTCTTCCTGATAGAAGTTACTTAGTCCGTAATTCTGATGCTTGTGACTATAAATGTGTTTAATTTATGTTTTGCTATGGAACTCTCGACGAAGTTTCTGTGAAACTTTTTTGTATTTCCAAAAAGTTTTAGCACAGTCTGAGTAAATTTCTGTTTGGAAAGGAGGAAGTTGGTTGTAATACAGAAGTCATGAGTAGTTCCTATGATCTAATAGTGTTCTTTTTTTTTTTTCTTCCTCTATGATATAGGACTTCAGTATGCAGACTGATTTCTGTTGGAATTATTTTTGTGCATCAAAAGGTGACATAATTACTGAAGAATTATATGGCAGCTCTAATTACAAGAAATTGAAGGAAAAAACAGCTTTTCACTGAACATTTTAGTTTACAAAATAGGAAGCAGTATATAAATACATTACTGTCCACTACAGTCTTATTTTTTGAGTACACAATTTATTTTTCTCTTTTCAGGTTACCAGCTGACTTTTTCTAATTGTCTGAGCTTCTGCAATTTGACTTTGGTTATTGTGCTTAGGTTATCCCTGATTCTTTTGTGTTCAGGCTTGTCCCCTTAGGTTAGTGGAAATGAAATTAAAACAGCAAACTATGCCCTACTTTTAAACTAAATGGTGCTGATCCTTTCTGCAGAGAAGTACAGAGTGTGCGTTTACTAGTAGGTTCTGGTCCAAAATTTAAATACAGATGTAGCCATGCTACTTCAATATTAATGAAGTGAACTTCATAAAGAAAATGGCCATTCTGTGAAGCTATTTTAATGTATGGTTTCATTTTGAATAATATAAAAGAGTCACTATTTCTGTTGTATTAAGCTGTCATTGTCTTATCTGTTTCTCCATTCTGAATTATAGTGAGCGCTGGACTGAAAACGACTCTGGACATATGTATTTTTTCCGTTGCAAATGCTGGTGTGCACGCTCGCTTGCGTTTTCTCTCATGCACTCTTATTCTCTCTCCCCCTCTCTGCGCTCCTACCCCAGTCTCACACATACGCACGCGTGCACACACGCACACACAAAATTGTGTTACCTCGCATCATGTTGTTTATCTTGCAACAGGATCTTGCCTGGTCTGAACTTGGTGCTTGAGTGAATTTGAGCTCGGTCAGTGTTTTTCAATTTATTGGAATATGAAGTCATGTGTGTACTGAAATTAGATCATATTAAGAGCAGAGATTAATAAAAACATAATTAAATGGGGATAGGGTTTTACTGCTTTTAACAGCAGATTAGCTGTGTTATTTTTACGGCAGATTTCTAATCAGTAGTGATCTAAATGTTTGGAGAATACAAAAGGTGGGAATTTCCTCCCCTGCCTCATGTAGAGAGTGTATGAAGTGTTGTGTGGCTATGTTATGTTTTTACAAAGTGACTTGTATTTGAGATGTTTGGTGTTTGAACAGATTTTTTTTGAAACATTCATGTGTTATGGGAGATTGTCTAGTTAATCTTTGTGCAACTGCCCTTTTGAAAAGTCTCTTTTTCTGGCTCTTAAAAACCTTTCCAATGCAATGTGTAAGTAACACAACTTCACAGGAATTTGTAATTAATAAGTTCACTTTCTAGCTTCATTACTCCAATAAAACTGTTAGGAAGAGGGAAGGTATAATATATTAAGCTTGGTTCACCATTATGATTTCCTTTATTATTATATAAAGGAATTGTCATGTTAATTTGTAGCTCT